AAGTTATCTTTTATTTTAAAAAGAAAAAGAAACAGTAAAGCTTCTCTAGAGTCCGCATCAACAGCTATTGAATTTTGAGAAAATGAAATGATAGTACTACATGTCCTAGTGAAGCAAGTCAAATACAGGCCAAAATTGTTCTTGATGAGCTAAGGTACCCTGTGTCAAAAGAAGTAACGGGTTAGGAATAGCTAGATGGTGTGGTCTTTACAACGCTGACTCAGCTGTGCAGTGATTTGAAAGTAGCCAATCCTTACACCACAGAGGAAAGGAGCATCGCTGAGGGAGGAGGATACTTTCTGAAACATGCTGATGTGTGTCCGTCAAGTGTAACAACCCCCTTCAAAGGGGATCTAGGATGGGATAACTAATATAAAGTGTTAAATAGGCAAAAAATCTACTGGCACAATTTAAAAATTAGCAAAAGACTTGAATAGAATTTCTTTTAAAATATGCAAATAGACAATGTGCACATGAAAAGGTGGTCAATATCACTATAGGCCCTGGGGAAATGCAACTCAAAACCATAATAAGATCCCAATGTAGGCCCCCTGGGATGACTGTGAGAAAAAGAAAGGAGAGAGAATGAATGGTAAGTGTTGAAGATGTGGGAAAATTAGAACTCAGTGCACATTGCCGGTCAGATCATACAATGGTGCAGCCACTGTCAATAACAGTGGGGCAGTTCTTTCAAAAAAGTAAACATCAAATTCTCCTATAACTCACCAATTCCATTTATAAATATATATTCTAAAGCTAGGAAACAGGTGCTTAAGTGCATACTTGTGCACACTAATATTCATAGCACCATTACTCACAATAACGACAAGGAAGAAACAATTCAAGTGTCCATCAGTTGAATAAGGGAATGATCAAATGCTATCTACCCACATGATGGAACATTACTTACCCAGGAAAGAAATGCAATGCTTACAGTTGCTAATGTCTGAACAAACCTTGAAAATCGTGTACAAATAAGGCACACACAAAAGGACAAAACTGTTTGAGCCCCTTATATGGAACAGGAAAATTCATAAAGGCAGAAAGTTGATGGGTGGTTTCTAGGGTTGAGGCAGGGGGTGGGGAGTGTGGAGGATTACTATTTAAGGGACACAAGGTTTCTGTTTGGGATGATTTAAAAAATTGGAAAGAGATCATTGTTCTGGTTGTACCACATTATGAATATAATTAATGCCAAATGAATTGCCCTTTCTAAAATGATTAAAATAGCAAAATGTTCTATGTATAATTTATGAAAATAAAATTTAAATATAAAATACCACTGGCCACGGTGCTGTGGAGCTGTGACCTACCTCTTCTGTCTCCACCCAGTCTTCCTTCCACTCGTACACCTATAACCAGTTAGGGTCATTCCCTTCAAGATGTTCCATCTGTGACTGTAAGAGAGTATGTTCAAAAAGAAAACGATCTGGAGTGTGTGTGTGTGTGTGTGTGTGTGTGTGTGTGTGTGTGTGTAAACTGTATATAAGTGAAGTCTAGTAATTACCTGCTCAGCAGGACAAACATTTAAATTCTGGGCCTCATGCTACAAATAAGACTGCCATGATTCTACTTGCCTGCAATAAATGGGTCATCACATGGCAGAAACAAATTCAGATTACATAATCACATCAATCAGTGGAGACCAGTGTGTTGCTATAGTGCCAAAGAGTCTTAAGAGATATTTTC